GCTGCATGAATGAAAGTTGAATACACCCGGCATACTGGACATATTGTACTGCGCGTTCGCGCACTGTATTTGAGGTGGGCGCGGCAGGCACGCCTCTTCTTGAATGTCGTACACGTGGCTGATTACACTAAATAGGTCGTCTAGGTCGACATCTAGGTAGCCCTCGCTGGAGTCTCCGCAAAATTCTACTGCGTCCGGGTGCAGCAAGTCGCTCAGTTCCATCTCTTTTCCGAACTGTTTGTGCGTCTGTTTTTCGCGAGTCGTTTGAAAATCTGCCATGGAAACGTAGCTTTCGCGCGCTCATGCTCTGCACTAAACAGGTTAGACGCTGGAACGCTCTGGACCTACGTAAATTCAGAAACCCTCGGGCAATGTAGTGCCCTCGCTGCGCTCGGGACACCACAGCTCCGCCCTCGGGTTTCTGAATTTACGTAGGTCCCTCGCTTCCAGCGTCTAACCTAGCATGTCGTTTTGTTTTTCCTTTTCTTTCCCGTTGTATGTTGCCAGGCCAGCCTACGTGTTTCTACCTTAGTGGTTAGTGGGCTGGCGCCTCGAGTTGTCTTTGTTTCGTAACCAGTACTTATGTGTGCAGCGGAGTACTCGCCCAGACCTGCCTGCATGCGCTTTGCAGATAAGGGTATAGTGACGATTAGCGATTTCTTTGTAGCTCTGCCTCGACAGCTATTACTCTTCTAAGACGACAGCGCACACCAGATTGCTCGTTGCAGTGAGAGCTAAATATTGTATGCAATTTGTCATAGGTGCTCTCTGTTCTCCTTGACATATTTTCTGCGTGTCACGCACCAAAACGGGGCTTCCGTCGGATGCAGCCTCGGCAATGATGTTATTTGTTAGCACACAGAAGAAGAAACACGCAGACCCTGTTCTGTTATACTCTGATGACTGACGAGATCACACCCCAAGTCTTATTATCACGTACAAAGTACGTGTGCTGTCATACTATGTATAATTTGTCTTGTATTTGGGGGTGATCAAAAGGCATCGACCAGGCACATGGTGCTCCGTATGATCGAGGCACACATGGAGACTTAAACGGCGCTGGTACAGTCTGAGACCAACTTAGCAGGGAGCATGCCGCACGGTTGGCCTTGCGCGCCCACTTGGTTGTATGCCGACTTACCGCAGACAATAGAGTAGGCGTCGCTGTACTTCGGGGTGCCGGCCTGATTGTCGGTGTAAAAATATCACTGCACATTCTATCCCATATGGTATACTTTCGTGAACTGCTGCCGATTATTCACGCGTAGCCTTGAGTCGAATCACGGCACCAATTTACTGGCCCGGTGGACGCACCCACAACGGACGAAATAGCATTTGAACACATTATGTGCAATATGAACTCCATCCCGCTTTAAGGCACTTTGACGCGGGCGGTCCTAAAAGTGTAATTCGTATTGAATGAGGTAAGTGTGGTATGTGCTGCCACGCCTGTTCCACCTGGCATTTTACATGAAAAAGACAGAAGGCTAGTTCTAAACAGCAAGACAGACTTATACCTGGGAGAGCTTGACACGTATTAGTTAACGTATAGGCGGCGAGGCAGTACAGGAGATACTCCGAGGCTGTTAACTATACCGGACGAGGGAATAGCACTGTCTCTTGCCTTATGGCATGGGAAGATGACTTTGTGCAAGAATATCGAAGTAGGTTATCTTTAAGGTACCCCTAGACACCATTTGCAGTGATATCAAGGCGGGCACCTGCCTGTGAGTTGGCTGTGGACCACATTAATTCTTCATCAGTCACAGGCCAAAGCTGCAGCTCAATGCACCGTCATTGTACACTTCTGTGAGGAGGATAGCTGTCAGGTCCCGTATCTGCTCATTGAGCCAGACCGATGGGAAGCCACCTTTGGCACAGGACTGAGCGTGTTGAACTACAAAAGGGGCACCGCAGACGTAGTCTTTCTGATGTCCAACAATATCACAGTGCCAGGACATCGCAGAAAGCTCCTTTGTGCAGAGCAAAGCCATGCTCTGAAAGTGGCAGGACAGTGAGCCAAGTGGAGGATCCCTTCTCACTTGCTAGTTTCACCGACCTCTGCAGGTTGTCTGGTAGGAGTTCTAACAGATCACGGGCTGCCTTTGAGCGATTTTCCTTGTTTTTATTTCTAACAATGGCCTTGGATTCCAATTGCTCGGCAATAACTTTGTACACGTAGGCCTCGTCTTGCATGGAAAGGATTGTTATTCCCAACCCACCCATTCTCGCTGGCAAGGCGAACAGAGCATGCTCCGAGTCACCAGGTGGGGGCCTTCCTGTAAGTGTTGGAATGAGTTTGGTTAGCAGGATGTCGTTGAGAGGCTTCAAGAGGTTGCTTATAGTGGGAACTGTACGGCATACGGCATAGGTAGGCCCACTTTCTTCAGAGACTGTTGATGATAGCTGAGTAGGCTGCATGTGGTTGAGTCTTTGCTATTGTTACACACAATGGATAGCCAGGAGTCAACCCTTTGGGTTGAAGGATGTAGTTAGCACTGGCCGTCTGGCTTGTTGGATGCTTACTGAGCAGCACATCTCTGACTGTTAGAGAGTCTGTGGTGCTTGTAGTCATCTAGGTGCAAGATGCAACCTTCGCCAGTGTTTGAGAGAAGATCCAGGGCAGCCTTGCATTTTCCATCTAACTTCAAGTCGGTGAAAGACCAGGCGATATTCTCTGCATGACTATTTTGATGTGAAGATTTTTGGTAGCCAGCCATCAATTGCTCTGCCCTTTAGTAGCAAGTCGTTCAGATTGCCTTCTTTCAGGATCTTAGTCTCCTCACAAGACAGGCGACATGTTCCTTGGCTTTGGAGGGTTTTTGTGGTTTTGCAGGAGGATTGAGAAGACTGTGGCAGCTTTAAGCGCTATTGACTCAAGAGCCAAGGCAGGGGCAAATTGCTAAAGCTTTGATAGTTCACCGACAAAATGCTTCATTAATATGACTTCGGGTCTCATACATTTTTATAGGACTGAGAAAACTGTGCATTAAATACAATTCGCACACACACCCTACAGTGCATGTCCTGTTCCATGATCTGGCAAGTCGGCTACATTGTATAAGGAACAGGACACGCTGGAATTTCTTGATTTTTCTAGCTGCTTGGCATAGTTAAAGCCATGAAGTTTAATAGTCAAGTACCTCCGGTGACGGGCGACCTTCATTAAGGTTCGCCTAAATTGCGTGAGTGTCGATATTTTAGCAATAGCATGGCTAAGATGCTCGTGAATTATAGTGAATTTTTGGTATCGTTCACGGATTTTTAACTCCTTGCTTTACAAGTCATTAGCATATTGACATTCCTCCTCCATACATTTTTCACCGGAGTGAACGGTTCGTCTCCATTATGCACAGTAGCATTTTTCTGCCTTCTACGGTACGCGCAGGCGTATCAGAGCCAGTTAGAAAAAAGGGTGTCGCCACGTTCTGAGTATTAGGCATTCGTTGACCTTTGTCATGCAGGGGCTACCCATTTTTTCGAAAAGGCTCTATTATGCCTGCGCACACCGTAGGAGGCAGAGAAGGCCACTACGCATAATGGCGACGAACCATTCGCTCCTGGCTTAAATACAACTGATTCATCCCTTAGACTGGTCCATGTCAATCACTGGTGGTATCATAGCACCACCCGCAGAAACCTTCAGTGTCCCATCCATAATGACAAGTATATACATCTAGCTCTGTTTCACCATATGTGATAGGCTCTGAGAAAACGACCCTTATCACGCACGTAGTATTGTTGTAGTAGCGGCAGTTTTACGACGAACTACGTAATTCACCGATTCCCGTTATCCCCCGTATTCTAGTAGCTCTGTCTATCGTCTATAATCTGCGCAAGTTAGACGCACTAACTCCGCTCCATTCCGTAGTTATGGCCCTGTGTATCAGGCAAGTATATACCGTTACTCGTGCCGTCGTACGCGGAATTACAAGGAAACGTGACACGAGAATAATCAAACCCTTTACGGGAAACCTTTTACGGGAACCCTTTACTACGTTTACCTAGCGGCGTACAATGAATGCGGCCGGATGCACGCATGCGCGCAATGTTGTAACACGGACTTGTTACGAGAATACGGAGGTTGAAATTTGACACCGGAAGTTCAACTTTAGACGCGATTTTTCACGTTAGATGCAGCGGAATGGCATTGCGCTTGTGCTCATAACTTCGCAACGGAACGGGCTACGCCCCTGAAACAAACGGCAAACTATAGAGTATTAATAGGACTTTCGGTCTAGTGTACAAATAGACTTTGCGGTTTTTGCGTCATAAGGGTCGTTTTCTCAGAGCCGGTCACATATTATGCAGTTGGATCTGCTTCCGAATGTAACCTTGGGGGATAAAAGATGGCAAAATAACTGAGCGAATGTTTGTCAGGGAAACGTGAATTCAGATTTTCTAAATGAAGGTATCTGTGGTCATTTAAAACTGATCACGTTGCTAAGAACTGTCGGTAATGTGTCGATCCTTGAAACAAAAAGCATTCACCTGGGCTGCTGGGAATATCACTCAAAAATGTTGTAAGCCTTGGCCTGGGTGAATTTTTAAAACCCCGAATTATAGCTTGCAGACAATCATTGACTGAGGAAAAATCCATGCATTGCCATTGAAATGACTTGTAAGTAAGGGAAGGATATCGGTCAACAGGTGAGTTGTTGCTAGAATGGAAAATAATGTGATGATAACCAGGATACCCTTTGGTGTTGAATCAGTAGAACTATCACTGATTAAGTGACTCTAGGTTGTTCAACACGGCATGAACAGCTCCATTGAAGTAGAGTCACTTTGTGTGAAAGACCTGCTGAAACTTTTTCAGCGCACAATAAAGTACTGTCTGTAAGTGCTGCAATCTATTTCAAGGCTGCGGAGAATAGTAGTGTGGTCGGCTGATACCTTTCATTAAAACTTTTAATGTAAAGTACATTATCAGCAGCCTGTCTGCTAGCCAAAGCTAAAATTATTGACCAACCAAAGTTCTCTATTAAGCACGGAATATTATTATATATATATACCTGATTTTTCTGACGAATGGAATTTTCAGCATGAATTCTCGACCCTTCTATATTTCCCTTCTGCAATGCCTTAATAAAAAAAAACGTTAGTAATGTTGCATGAATGAGGACACTTATATGAAAGCCCTGGCGCAGAACCAGGGATACTTAAGCAATAATTTAAGCTTGTAGTGTAGCAAATACATGTAGCTTGTGCAGGCACAAGAATATTAGCAAACCTGCAATTTGCTGCATGAATGTAGCTAGCTCTAAAAATTGCATGAATAAACCTACTAGCAAGAATCAAACTCGGACCATCAGTACTGCACTCGGTTTTATCACCTTAGGCTGCTGGGCCATCTAGGCGGTACGCACGCATTGCGATCATTCCGCTACTGCATGCATGTTTTTCTATCCTTGCAAGCTCACGCGTGTATCACAGGTACACGCATGTCAGTTGTAGATTCAAAGTGGTGGACCTTGTAACAGTAAACAAAGTGTTATCTAACTCTTCAGGGAAGCCCTACTAGAGACACCGGCTTTCATGTCTTTACCATACTCCAAGAGCTAGTGTCCCTTGTTGCGTGTCATAGTGTGAGATGCGAGACTAGAAACCAAGTACTGTAAACCCCTCTAGAGCATGCGCACCAAGAGTTAATAATTAAAGTGACCTGTTAGGGTTCTGTAACTGAAATGCGCAAAAGCAAAGAGTTGGAAGGGAGTATTCAACTCCTTAAAAGGAGTCAACACATTTTTGCCATTGACCACAACAGATGGTGCCAAAAATACATACTCACTAGGCTCAGCAACATAATGAAATACATTGTCCATAGTAGTCCAATTATATTGGGGTCAAACTCCGCTGAAAAGCATTTTCAGGGGACAAATGTAGCAGGGACTATGTCCCCTTGGTGCACTCTGGCGACAGCCCTGCAGACGTGCTGATGCCTTGGTGAGCAATTTCGTGCCTGTGTACAGTCAACGCATGCATTTCTCAGCTCTAGTATATACATCTAACTTTCAAGTTTGAAAGCAATCTACTGTAAGGTCTGCCTCTGAGTGCTAGAAAAAGCCTTTGAGGTAATTATGCCATCTAGGTGAACAAAAACACACAGTCACACCAACTATACAACTGCATGCCACGGTTGTACCAAGGTCGTTACGCAGTTAAGCAGGAATGACCGCGGTCACTGCATGCAATATACAGTTTAGAGCACCATTCCACAGAAATGTTGCCATGTCATAGCGCAGTTATGCACGAACAAACAGTTGCGGAAAACATTTGTGCAATATTGCATGCATAAGCAGGTAATTGTGGGTGGACAACTCTGCCATGTATTACTAAGCATAGACTCTCCAGTCTGCGTAAGTTGGCACTGGAGTGCGCAGAAGTTGTGGTTTTTGCAGCCGTCACTGTCTGTACGCGCTTTTACTCGTATTGGTCTGTAAGTGCATTTACTCACATCATTTTACACACACCTGTACATTTTAAAAAGAAGTTTGATGTGTCTGTGTGTTTGCCTATTACTGGTATATTTGTGCCGTAGCACAGTTTTGGGGTTTTTGTCTTTGCCTTTCTTTGTGTTGCTGTATTGCAGACTTCCTGCCCAACTGCTGAGCTGCCTGGTAGGCTCAGAGGTAGAGCACTCGTAAGTGAGGGTTCGCGCCCTACCTAGGAAGCTTGTTTTTTCTTCGGTGCCATTGATATGCACCTGGTACTACAGGCTACAAGGCGGCCCATGAGCGATGCCAACAGCTGTAGCTGAGTACCTGCCTATACTGCAAGAGTGTCGTGGGTTAGAATCCCACCCAGGGCTGCTCACCCTTGCTCTTTAGGGGGGAAAGAGTTCTCCTGGGTGCAGTTGACTTGTTTGCAGGGTTCTGCCTATGCTGGTCGGCCGTATAAGCCCGACCACCGCTGAAAGTCTCCCGACCACTCCTAAATAAAAGGCTGGGCTGGTGCCTTCCGCCCGTATAGTACGCATCTAAGAGCGATGAATGAATATCTGCAATGGAAACGTGGCCTCCCTGCGGCTCTAAGATGACACTTGGCTTTCTAACACACGAAGAACGAATCTAGGCTTCGTCTGCGCGCCTACACTAGTATAAACATGCAAACAAAAAGGCGCGACACGAACGCGAAAAAGACCACGCGTACGCGTTAATTTCGCGCATGCGCATTTACGCGCGCATAGGACTGTTTTCCTAAACTCCACAACTAAAATAATCCTGGGCAGAACCCTGTGTTTGCTTTGACCTCGTCGTAAATAAAACATACGCTAAAGTGGCACTCACAAAACATTGCGAAAATAGAGTGGTGGGGTCCGAAACCAGGCATGTAAGTGCATCCTTACTTTTTTTAATTTCAACTTCTCAGCCTTTTCCTCCTTCTCACATCTTTTGGCATTTCTAGCCATTTGCTTTGATGAAAACTGTAAAAGGAGCAAAAATTATATAAACATGCTGAATAGCAGCTGAATTTTAGCTGACTTCAAGTGTCATAATGTGTGTTCACGAGGATGATGCAATAACACTTAAGGTTGCATATATAGTACACACTGAATGCAACACATTAAAACAAGCATCAGCGAAGAGTATTCTAAATAATTTATTTGTGGTGACAGTTTTTGGTCCTAAAAGGCTGCGCAGAACTAACTGGGCTTTGCTCACGGTTGCAAGTTATGAAACAGAGGCCGTTGGCAAGTTCTGTTGTGGCAAAGCTCTATGCACATACGTCTTGAGCATCAACCATCAACGTTTCTGGCTTCGCCGTAAGTTACCTACAGTTCTGTAGCGCTGTAGTCCTCTCTTCAGACCGCACCTTCACATATTATAGGCAACCGAGTGTTGAAACACAGCAGACTAGTCATCACAAAAGCGAATTTAATGTACACTTAAAGTGTATATGCTTTCCCGATTATATATACAGTTTTCTACACCTCAGAAGTCATCTGACAAGCAATAAATAACACTATGCGTGTGCTGTTCCATAATAGTTTAGCCTAATGCCTTAAAAATATCTTGCACATGGCAGATGGAGAGTAACAGACACTGTTCATCTGCACCATTATGGGGATAGTCCCCATTAGTACAACATACATTATAAAACTACCTTCAAATTGAAGAGATGTTCTTTTCAATAAATTGAGGGTTAAGTATCATCATGATGAATTTTTGTGCACAGGTTATACGTACCCTTCCTGTTATACATAGGACAATATCGCTAGGAAATATCAACATATTATTACGACTCCTATTCATACATACAATAATTGGGCAAACGGAGTCGAAGTATGCATGTGTTAAAATTACGCGCTTTGCATTATCTGAAAGCCTGTTCTCCTGGTGCAGTAGTTCTCAGTACAGTCCTAAGAGGATTTGGCAGTATATCGGGCTAAATTCAGAAAAAAATTCTTTCCATCATTTCTAAATAATAGTCTGTTACATTTCCTTTAATCGAGCATCAAAGCCTTTTCATTACTCTAGTAACACCTCTGCGCGCATTTCCGTGTGGGGTTTACAATTGGACTGCTCACAGACAACAGATCTACGTTTGTTACAGGTAGAGATCTCCCTCCGCTCGACCAAAGAATGCCAAGATTTATAATTAGCAGGCAGAGCACAGTCCACGGGGCAAAGCTAAAGCCAACATACAAGAGTTAATGGCAGTGCCTGCGTAGACACCCTAAACATACTAAGCCCCTAGGTAACACTGCAGCTCTTCAGGCACACGCAAAGACTGGGAGAGTTAGATCCTTATGTAGGCTTTCATAACTCCCAGATACTTAGATTATAACCTTGAACAAGCAATAGGAAAATCTTCCACTCATAACTCACAACCTAACACAAACCATGCTTTCCTCCAACTTTCTAGACACACGAAACCCTAAAAATTCTTTCCCAAGAAACTCTCACAGCTTAGCAATTATCCTCAAATAAAAAATCCTGCTAATTTTAAAAGGAGGAGAGAATATAGGGATGGCATAAACAAAGCATGGGTAAACAGATTGTGAAAATAATGATACTCGCGAGCCTGCCACACCATCCCTATATTTTTGCCTGGTGTGTCATTCTCAATAGGAGGAGGTGGCACCAAAGAATGGGGCTTTCCCACTCCTTACAACAGCATTGTCACTTGCCCTTACAAGCCACAGCTCCTGCCTAACATATTATGGTGACTGTCACACTGACTCACACACAAGCAAAATGACTCGGTAGAACTTCCACTGAGTGGGAAGTGACCGACGTGCTACGCTGACTGACAACTAGGCTACACTGCACTTACTATAGGAGAGGTATTGTACAACATCAACTTTTATGGCCTACACTACCACCACCGATCTATAACGTATACTTATACTTGTTTTCGCTGTGGATACTATCCATCTCTGTGGCGACCTCACGCAGCAGGACTCGTGCAGGGCAGGGTGATCCAAGGCCGGGCTCGAAAACTCAAAAGCTGGATAGTCACATGACATGCATGACCGAACTTGTATGTCGTCATCATGACCCTATAGGCAATAACGCGTATATTATTATTATAATCGCCCCAGCTTCTCTAGCTATAAATTTGCTGGGATCACGGGGCGTTTTGGGGTCCCCCCACTCAGCCATGAAACTAATACCTTGATCCTGCCGTTCGGCGACGTCTCTAGCTAGTCACTGTTGCGTTGCGCATAACAATAATGTTGTCACCTTTTGACCTTTAGGTTCACTCTAGCGTAGGTTTATGGAACCTGAAACTGCTACGACGCCTGAGCCTATATAACTTCCCTGCAACAGATACAGTCATCGTGTACTGGAGCGCTGATAACCTCTTTGCTCACCACCCCCTTTGATGTTGTTCGTGTCCGTTTGCAAGCCCAGCAGCAAGCTGCTTGACTAAAGCATGCTACCTGATGGATTGCAGGTGCCTGGATGGTGTGACTCTTTGCTACATCACTCCGGAAGGCCGAGCTTATTCTCCGAGACTAAATGGCACGATAGATGCTTTAATGAAGATTGCTAAATTTGAAGGAATAACATCATGGTGGAAAGGTCTCTCACCAACATTGTTGATGGCTGTTCCTGCTACAGTCATTTATTATACATTCTACGACCAACTGAAGGTCACTTTGGGATTTAAGTCACAACAAACTAACTTTCTAGCACCTGCGATTGCAGGATCCATTTCAAGGACTGTTGCTGTAGCCTGCGTTACTCCACTGGAGCTTTTACGTACCAAGATTCAGTCACAACAACACTATCGCTATCATCAACTGTGGCGTGTAATACATGCCTCTATTCACAATGATGGTCTCTTGAGCCTTTGGAGAGGGCTCTTTCCAACATTACTACGTGACGTACCCTTCTCTGTTTTTTACTGGATTAGCTATGAATTTCTAAAACATGAAATGGGCTCTCTTCAGCATTTCCACAACTCACAACTTGTACCTCTAATAGCTGGTGCAATTTCTGGAGCAACAGCAGCACTGGTGACAAATCCACTCGATGTTGTAAAAACCCATATTCAAGTGAGCCTAGGCACAAGACGCCTTTCACTGTTAGAAGTTGTAAGGGATGTTGTTTCAGAACATGGAATTTCTGGACTCTACACTGGCCTTGTACCGCGCATAGCTAAAATTGCTCCTGCTTGCGCAATTATGATTTCAACATATGAATCATTCAAGATATACTTCACAGAGAAAAACAGGGAAAAAACACTGCAATGATTGCATTTATTGCTATTGTATTATGTTTATGTGATGTAATACTACTACTGAGCTATTGCTGAAAATTGAATGTCATCATTGGTGTTGATGTATGGAATAAAGAACAAAATAACCTTTGGTCTTTGTTGCAGAAGCATTATATTCATCCTACTTTTTGGGCCCTTATACTTTCCACCTATTATTCTCTGCCAAGCAAAGGAGAGCACTGGTAATTTTGTTACATTCTTCAGCATACTATATGACGAGAGGTCAGAAAGAAGTAGTAATATTTGTAGGATTGACATGTTCACAGTGATATAGAAACCTCCAAGGACAGCAAGAAAAATGTAGGCATGAGGACCCAATTCTGCACACACACGGTGTTGCTCAAGTTCTGTATAACCCAACACCCACCAAACCTTCGTGACAACGCACAGGTTAAAAAATGAAAAGCTCATCCACATTGCATACCCTAGTCCAATGGCACCGTACATCAAGAAGAGCAGAAAATACGAATAATTTTTTAGGCCTGTGCAATTTCCCGTAAAGGGACAATGGTGGTCCATATATGCCACATTTTCTTGACAAATACTGCAGTAGTGATAACAAGGTGGTCTCCACTGCATACCATCTGAAGGAGTTACTGAACTATCCCCATCCTTGCTCGTATCATTAATTTTTGGCACACTACCTGGATGTACAAACACAGCCATGTAGTAATTAAAGACGAGGTTAACCCATATCCAAATTGCAAAGGCGAAGTGTGCAAGACCGCAGAAGGAAGAAAATGGCTGGTCTACAGTTCGCGGTAAGAACAAAAGTAAAAAATAACTCAAACCAACAACAAAAAAGGAACTCATAGCTACAACAAGAAGCACCTTCATACACCAATGTGTAGTACGTCGAAGCTTACACCCCGGTGAAAATGCACGAAGGATATCCACTAGTACAGGAATTTGCATCAGTCCGACGAGACCGATCACGCCAACAACAAAGATGTACATTTTTCTCGCTGACTGCAGCTCGCGATGACCCAGAATAGAGAGACAAGACAATTATATAGACGGGGTCTGGTCACTCAGCTGTTCGGACGACGTACTCCACAACGTCAAGGCGCTGGCAACACGTACGTGCAGTGAGTCAAGAACACCCGGCCCCGCGCCAGCCCGCCGCGCCAGCCCGCCCCCCCCCGTCTTTGGCAGCGGGCGGGCGGCCGCCGGGGGGCGCTGGGTCTAAAAATATCAATGACGTGATTTCGCTTGGGAGGATCCGGGCGGCGCGGCGCGCACGGATCGATCGGGAACGAACATTTGTGCGCATGCGTGAAAGAGGGAAGCCACACCCACCCAGCGCCAGCTATAATTATAGCTAGCTCTCTACACACAGCGCGCACTGTCGGTTTATAACCACCCCCGCGGAGGTCGACATAGTTAGCAGTAGTCCTGTCCCCAGTTGTTCCGACGACAAAAGCACGATCGAGAGTGCAGCAACCTTGAAGCCGAAGCAAAGAAGCGATCAGAGCGTTTGTTACGTGTTACTACGAATTCCAGTACGCGCTGCCGCTATTTTGCCTCCCCTCGATATCCCTCCTTCTTCCATCGTCACGCATGCGCACAAAAGTACGGTCTACGAAAGAACCCTTCAACCCGTGGTGGTGCAACCGTTTGTTTATCCTGGCTTGAGAGGTGGGCTATCTGGGGTCGTTGTTGTTTTTGATGGAAGACTTCTCGAGGGCGTGAAAGTTGCGAAGGGACAAGTGCGTTCGTAGGAAGTACGAGGAATCAGTTGGATACTCGGGCTCTTCAGACATTACTGAGTGTGTCAGGCAATCCAGGAACCTGACAAGACCTGAATGGAGAGAGGTAGGTTATTTTGTTAAATCGCTGTTTTTCTGCATCAGCGATGCGCGCAATAAACTAGAATGGTGTTTAGAAAAACGTGCGATGTGGAGGCGGCAGGCAGCACTGGGTGTCATCTCTCGATCTCTGCGCCTAGACACTTACGCGCCCCCGCGCGAAAGGAGGTCGATTGTGCTCAACCAGCATGTGTATGGGAATTTCGTTCTAATATGGCGCGATAGTCATGGATTGTAGCATAGATCTGCACTTGTGCCCAGAGCAACCACCACCTTTATGTCACATGATGTTTTAACTAGGTGCCAACGCCAGGATAATTTTTGCGTTTGCCATACCGGCACCAGGACTCGGAGAATTATCCTTACGGATCCTAGACATATTTCACGTGGTAACCCTCACGCATGCGCGCCGAGGGTTTATCATTAACATTTTGGTGAACCTTTTTCGACCACTGTGTGCCTATTAAGTAGTGGTGTGCATGCAGTAGAGTTCAATGACTGTGACACTCTCTATAAAATATAAGTTTTGAATAACGTAGTATTAAGACTGGCGAACGAATTCTGTAGAGAGATCAAAGCAGCATTGTAAAAACTGGTTAGTTGAGTGAACATTGAACTAAATATAGTCACGATTCAAAACTGAGGACCTGTCAGAGAGGGCATTTGCTACCAGTTTTACGTGCATAAGAAACGAATCATAACTGCACATCATACGATAGAGATTTAGGCTTGGAGTGAAATTTACACGAGCAAGAAATGTCAATTTTAAGATGTGACCATCATCCCATTGTACTAATCCATCACATGTTTGTCTGGCCAGCAGCCGTGCTTGCATAACAATGTAAATAGTCAACGGTCACAAGCTCAAAACGTCTGCTATGTTGTTGATCAGCACAAAATTCTCACCTGCCACCTACAGTAACATCATCTGTGTGCACTCCACAGCTACAGGTCTATCCCGCTGGATATGTCTAGACCCGGTAGCTAGCGAGTGTCCGACTGAAAATGACAAAGTTCTCAAGTGTGTCTTATAGCGCACCGGATTTGGTAATGTTAGCGCTTCGAGTCCCGGCGCTGGTACGGAAAACGTAAAAATTACGATCCCGGCACCAGTACTTTAGACACAGGGTATTTTTAAACCTAGCAATCTGATTGGGTTACCCGTTTTCCGAACATGCTGATTCAGCACAACCAAGACATTCGACCTTAAAGTTATTCCAGACCCTCTTTGGCGCAGGAGCACGTGAGGGTCTGGGCACAAGACTAGCACTGGTTGTAAAAAGAGGAGGTTGGACAAGATCACGTGAATCCACGTGAATTGCCAAGAATTCCAATTAATGTTAGAGGAATGTAGGAGTGGACCAGTTGCACGAGCGGCACAAAAATTGAACGTGACGTCACATCAGCAATGTATTGCGTTCTACGGAGAAAATGGAACCGTCCGTACTTAGAGCGGTGCAGCACGTAGCTTTTACGGTATGCTCTATTTATAAGTTACTTTTGCGATACAGTAACCGTACTATGTGTGAGAAAAAGAACGGACGCTAGTTCCTGCGCGGAGATCTGGGCTGAGAAAGGATAGTTGTTAGTATCATGACTGGAAATCGATGTGTTTTGTGTGGCTCTACACATGCAACAGACCCTGGAGCCTCTTTTCACCGTTCCCCCGGCTGAAAAATGGCGAGAGCGAGGTGGATTGCAAATCTACAGCTAGGTGCTGATGCTCCTCTTAAGAACCACATTCACTGCTGTGTAGCCAACACTTTCCTTGAGGAGACCCGAGCAAGGAACTCTCAGCTTAACCTGGGAAAAGAGGCTCGAGGGGCTGTTGCACATGTAGAGCCACACAGAACACATGGATTCCAGTCATGATACTAACATCTATCCTTTCTCAGCCCAGATCTCCGCGCAGGAACTCGACATCTGTTAGTGGAGACCAGGCCATGGTCCTGTCCTCGGTGCTGCCCCCACTGTCAGCCAAGGTGGTGGGCAATCAATTCAGCCCAGTACGTGCCAATGAAAGATCTCATAGCGGACACATGTCCCTCTGCATGCAGTTGAAGGCGCTCCCAGGGCCACACAACATCTATGCAGGCCTTGTGAAGCCACAGCTGTGGGAGATCCAGTCCCCTCTGACCTGGGTGTCTGGCGTACATACACGACAGTGCTCACCCCTGACACCAAGACGTGCAACCTCCTCGCCTACGGGCGCTGGTTGTCAGGGAGGCTCAGCGCCATGGGGGCCCAGGATGACAGGAGTATGATAAGATATTTCGCCAGCATGCAGCGCTGGACCCGTCGGTGCAGTGGAATGAGCTCAACCCTAGCCTACACGCCTATACCATCATGACGTACCGCTCTGGGACCAGTCAGTGCTGTGTGTTGTGTCACGAGCCAGACCTGGTGGGATTGCAGGCTTCCCCGCCCTCTCTCCCAACCACTCGTGCCTCATCAGGGAATCACTGCTCTTTCCCCTCCCCTCACTGGCCGCTGCTCTTTCCCCTCCTGCTCCTTCTGGTATATCTGTGCCACTTGCAAGCAAGCGCAGGGGGGCATAGAGCCAAAGAGTGCGATGAGACTCCGGTGGACGGATGTAATACATGCGCAATGCCATTGCACCTATGACGTGGCAATACCAGATGGGCTATCATGGCATGCTAGACACCTATTATCAGCAGACAGGGCGTGGCAAGGCGTAATGCGGTTTTACGGGTCTACCACTAGCCACGCCCAGGCAAAGGTGCCGTCCAGCCCTCGCATGTACTCCCATCACCTTCTACGGATCGGTAGTTACGGAGGTTACCCTACGTAACCAGAGTACCCATGATGCGGTGGGGCTAGATTGTCAGCAGCCAAATGGAAATTCCAGGTAAATATTAGTTTAATACGATAGTATTAAGCTAGGTTAATATTACGTGGCCACGCCACCGCCACGCATGCGCGCACTTGTGCTTAGTCAGCACCCAACCTCGTGGTCCGGTTCTGGCGACAGGCTACAGCAGACGCTAGGCTGCGAAGTTATCCCACCCACCCTGTATCCCTTTCTATATTGTATGTTATTGTTCCCCATCAGCGCGAAAGCTGATGTGATCACGTGTGAGGGCTTGATGTGTGACGGATGTGGTACATGCGCAATGCCATCACACCTACCAGACGGACTATCATT